GGCGCTGCGGGAGCGTGTCCGGAGCCCGGCGGGGTCGGGCGGGGCCGCGGCGCGGGGGGGTGACCATTGATTTTAGTGCCTTTCCCTGCCAAAAACGAGCCCTTTCGCTGTGTCTCCTCGTCCTGGCCTCGGGATGTGTCTCCCCACATTCCCTCTGCCCTCCCAGCCCATGCCAGGCATGCCCGCGGTGACACCCAGGCCGGTGATGCCGCTCCCCCGGCGCGTGTGGCATCCCTTGCGCCCTGCAGGAATCCCAGGCTTCTGCACGCCCATCCCGTCGTTATCCTACACACACGGAGCCCGGGGTTTTGCAAGGCTGTGCCCGCATTGTCTTGTGGCTGGAGGTGTGGAATGGTGGAATAACAACAATGAGGATGGGAGTGAGCACAGGCAGCGAGGCACGTCCTTATCTCGCTAGGGAAGAGCTGGAATGCCGAAAGAGCATCGTCCTTACTTACTCATTGCCTTAATTAACGCAGTGCCGAGCTCACTGTGTGTCCAGGATTTGCAGGAGAGGCTTGGTGCACATTCCAGCTGAGAACGGGTGTGTCAGCCTGTGGCTTTCCAGAGGTTTTCCAGAGGTGCTCCTCTCACCTGAGTCCCAGCAGGTGTGCAGACCATCAGCCTGAAGAGCCCTTCTCCTTCCCAGGGGCAATCCTGCCTGCCCAGCAACAGGAGCGAATGAAAGGTCACCCAAGAAATATCCCAGAGCCTTTTTTTTCCTGACAGCACAGCTGCCCATTTGTGTTTCCTCTGCCCCCCGGGCGTGGCTCTCCGTGTCTCGCTTTAATCGCTTTAGCTGCGCTCGGGGAGGTTTTTATTTTCTTTCCCTCTGACATGATTAGGTTTGTGGGAGCCAGAGCCGAGCAGAGCACAGACAAGGTGCTCAATCACGGCCACTTCCCAGCCCAGAAGTCCCTCCTGCCCTTTCTGCCAGGAAAAGGTGTGTTCTGGAGCCCCCCTCGGGGTCCTGGTGTGCCATTCCTGTCACCTGGAGGGGCTGGAGTGTTTTTGGCTGCAGATGCCACAAGCTGAGTGAGAGATGTCCAGTGGGAAGTAGTTTGGATTGCTTGAGAAATAACATTAAAAGGCGTGGCTGGTGGGGCACAGGGATGAGGAGCACAAGGCAGGGGGGCTTTGGAGCTCTCTGGGAAATCTCCTGCCCCCCAAAAAACCTCCTGGGGATCCACCCAGGAGAGACCAGGCAGTGGGAAAGGGGGTGGATTTCCTCTTGGATGTTGATTCCATACCATCACATCCCACTGGGGTGTGGGAGTGTTTCGGGTCACCCCAGTGACACTGTCCCCAAAAGCAGGGCAGGGGAAGGGCCTGGAGCTGCTGGGCTTTGCAGAGCCACACTGGGAGTGCTGTCACTGCCAGTCTGTGCTGGGAGCCACTGGATCCTGGCACTGAGGTTTAAGACATGAAAGTATTCCTTAGTGAAAGCAGCACTTCCTTTCCTTTTAAGGCCAGGAAGGAGGAATTGGGTTTCCCCAGCCTCAGCGCCGTGTCAGCAGTGGGAAGTGGCTGCGCTGCTCTCTGCTGTGGCCATCCAAGTTGATTTTCCACTGAAGACACTCCCACTGTGGTGTTTGTCGTGTTTTCCTTGGTGTGGAGAGCGTGTCCTTGTGCTGTTTGGGGAGGGGTCATTCCCTGACTCTGGAAATGGGCTTTGTCACCTCACAGGCAGCAAGGGCTGCAGTGACACCGAGGATTGGAGTGTCCCAGCCCTGTGAAACAGGTCAGCTCCAGGCAGGAAGAGCTTGGGAATTCCCTGAAGCACAGCTGGGTTGTTGCTGGACGGGGTGTGAGGGAGGGGAAAAAGGAGCTTTTTCCAGAGGGGCAGCTGCCAGTTTGGCAATCCCTGCCAGCACTTCACCACGAAAGGATGTCCCTGGGACAACTACACGTGAAATTCAGCTGTAGGTGTTGTGTGGGGCGCAGTGACTGAGCTCTGCCATCTGCAGATCCTCCTCCCTGCCTGGCCCCTAACGAGATTACGGCCTAAGCACCGCTCCTGATTAGCCCCAGGTTTGGCACACGGATTTTCCAGCACCTAAATAGGGAGCTGGGATCAACTCTTTCTCTCCTCAGACACCTTCCAGCCTCTCACCAGGCTGAGGGAGCCGAGTTGTTCCCCCCTCCTTGTGCTTCCTCCCTCACCTTGCAAAAGCAAAGCCCTCAGATTTGGCAATAGAGCAGGATCACCCACGGATCCAGGGGATAGAGTGGTAGATGCCGAGTACCAGTTTGTTCTGGATGTGTCAGTTTGAGCGGATCTCAACCTCAACAAGCCCAGCTGGTGTATTTAGGTGCTTCCAGACCCCGATTTTTGAGATCACTCAGGTTTGGGGTGTTGTTTTCTGGGCAGTGGTTTGTGCTGGCGCCTTTCCCTCCAACCCAAGGAGCCGTCTGGTAACGGGAAAGGAGGGATGGGAGTGCCAGGCAATGGCCATGATGATGGTGATGCCTTTCCCAGGAGAAGGGAAGAGTGTTTTCCTCAGCCAGAAGAGAGACCATCGTGGTCCCATGGGGGAATTGGAAGATGTTTTGCCAACGTGCCCTTCTCCACCTACTTCATCTCTCAAAGCACTTTGGAGTGGAAGGATGATCTGGGAGGGAAAAAAAAGGAGGAAAAGAGCCCTAATTGCAGCTGGGCTGGCTGGAAGGCTGTTGGGTGAGAGCTGGGCTGGCAGCTCCCCCTTCCTGGGGGTGAAACTGCTTTACCCCCCTCGGCTCCATGTGTTGCTGTAGCTGAGATTTTGGGTGGTGGTGACTTGTCCCGGGATACTGGTGGGCCCTTGTCCTTAATTTCAGTGTCTGAGGGGCTGCAGCTGCCCTATAAAGATGATATTTGTTTCCTAACTAGTTTTAAACCAGAAAATACCTATAAGTTGTTGCTTCTGAGCGAGTTGATCCTTCAGGTTTTCCAGCATTTCCCTGTGTGGTGGTGATTCCTCCCCTGGCTTGGATTTCACCTCCTTGATGGAGCAGGATCCTTCCCCAGGCAGATGCAAAACCTCATCCCACCTTCTGCCAGCCCTGATTTCTTCCAGGGCACGCCAGCTTTGCTCATAAATCAGGCAGGGTTTTACCTGTGAGCCTGGCTGGCTTGGGCTGAACTCATTAGCAGCACGCTGGGGCTTGGCAGCTCTGATTTATGGAGCCCCAGCGACGCCCACGGAGTACGAAGGGAGCATTTTGTTTGTCTCATCCGCCACCTGCAGCATCCCGGTGTGGGGGTGAGCTGGGAAAACGTGTCTGTCTCCTCTGGAAGGGGCGGCTTCCGGCACATCTTGGATGTGCTCAAGAATTCCCCTCGTGCTGCGAAAATCGGTCGGAAATGCTTTGGGTGTGTTCGTCGCGCGGCTCCCCGGGGTGGTTTTGGCTCGGAGTGGCCGGGGATGTGCCCGGGTCCCGCCCCTGCCCCTCCCCGGGGAGTTAGAAAAGCCGTGGCACGTTTGTCATGGAAATCAATAGCGGTGTCAGCGCCGCTCCGCTGGGATTAGCGCTGCTGGCATGGCCGAGCCGCGGCTCCTGCGTGGAGGCAAAGCCCTCTCGTGGCAGTGGGAAGGAAGGTAAGATTTCCCCCCCAAGGGATGGTTCAGCAGCGCTCTGAGGTGCTGGTCCTCGGAGCTGCTGCTCCTCTCTCTGCTCTGCTGCAAACAAATGCTTCCGGTGCTTTTGGAGAACAGGGGGGGCTCCTCTTCCCCTCCTTTTGTGGAGCAGCTCATCCTGAGCCACTGCTTGTTCCCTGTTCCTGTGTCCTGGTGTTCCAGACAGGGCTCTGCTGATCGATTCTCTGATCCTTCTCCTTTGATCCCTGCTGGTTCCCTTTCCCCAGCACGTGCTGCTGGTCTGGTTTTATCCAGGGAAAAGCTTCCCCAGCCCAGCAGCTCCGTGTCCTGCAGAGCAGGAGAGTGCAGCCCATCGTGTCATCCACAGGCCTCCCATCTTCGTCCCTCAAAACCCACATTTCTCCATCCACTTTTCCCTGGTTTCATAACCCACTTGCTGCTCAGCTCAGGGATTTCACAGGATGGTTTGGTTGGAAGGGACCTCGAAGATCATGTGGTTCCAACCCCAAACTGCCACCTTCCACTTGTGTTTTTTTAACCTCTCTTCCCCTCCCAGCTCCTCCTTGTTCTGTCCTTTCCGAAATAAATAGTTGGATGCTGCTCCAACACATTTGCCAACACGTTCCTTCTCTCTCCTGCTCCGCCCTCCTCACCACTGAACTGTGTTTGGTAAAGACATGAAGCTGCTCCAGGGGTGTGTGGTGCTTTGGGGGGGGTCCCAGGCTGGGCAGGTCAGAGCTGTTGGGTTGTGCCTGCTGTGAGAGCATCAGTTGTTTTGGTGTGCAAGGAATGAGACACCTCTTGGAGGTGTCTCTTGGAGGCTGTGGCCTCGTTTTTGGGGACCACTGAGGCTCCTGCCAGGCTTGGGGTGCCCCAGCTCTGCAGCAGTAACATCACCTGTCCTGTGTCAGGGCATCCCCTGCGGGACCATGAGATCACCATCTCTTGATCCCACGTGCCATGCCAGGGGCATCCCTAGAGCATCACCCCTGCAGGGGGGGTGGCAGTGCTGTGTCCTTGGCCACCAGCCCTTCTGTGGCACCTGGACCTGCTGCAGGACCTTGTCCCCAGGGCTGGGTCAGCGTTTGCTGCTCCCACATCCATCCTGGGGCTCGGGGAGGAGGAAAAAGCCAAAGCTGGGCATCCCACCACCCCACAGGGTGGATTTGGGCACGTGTGGACACACAGGGGGGATGTGACAGCAGATGGATGGTCACCTGTGGGGCAGGGCACGGTCCCCACTGCAGAGCAGACCTGCAGGGTGGGAGGTGTTGGCTCTAGTCCCTTTTTGGGAGCTCCCAGGGAATTCTCTGCTGTGAAGTGGGTGCTTGGCTGCACCCTCTGTGCACAGAGTATTCCCCTTGCTGGAGACTGGCACTCAGCAGGGATCCTGTATTTTCTTTAGAGAGCTTCAGGAGCCCAGTAAATGTCCTCCCCAAAGAAAACCCCAGGGCTGCAGTGATGTTTCTTTTGTTCCCCAGGGGCCTGAGTCCAGCAAATGACAGTGGAGCCAAAAAGAAGAAAAAGAAACCCAAACAGAAGAGAGAGAAAGGAGGAGGAGACCAGCCTGACCAGGCTCAGGACCAGCCAGTGAAGGTGAGCCCCCCCTTCCCAGAATCCCAGCCCCATCCTGAGCCTCTCCAGTGCAGCTCAGGGCAAGGAAGAGATTCCCACTGCTGGTTCTGGACACTTGGCTGCTCAGTAAACTTGAGCTGTGGAGTGATTTCCCAGCCTGGCTCCGTGTGTGGGAATTGCTGTTGTGCAGGAGGTGTTTGCAGAGCGCTCCAGGGATAATGCAGCCCTTGGCTGGCTGTCCCAGCCACTTCCAGGGTCACACTGGCGCCTCTGAGCAGACACCAGCTGCCTGTCACAGGCAGGAGCTGCCACCTGCCAGCTCCCTGTCCTGCCTGCAGCAGCACGGGCCTGACACCTGATGGTGTTGATTTTTGGCTTGATTATCAGCAGCACAGCAGGCAGGGAGAGCAGGGGCCATCCTGTCCCTCTGGGCTCTGCCTGATCCTCTCCAGCAGCCGGTGATTTGGGAAGGGGCGTGGGACATGCAGGGTTTGTCCCTGCCAGGGTAGCACCCTCCCCTCCCCTCTGGTCCTGTGGTAGAGGACACATCAACAGAGACTGTTTTCTGCCTGGTGCCCCGTTCTCATCCAAATATTTGGAATATTTTGTCCATCTGACTGTGCAGAGCTTTCAACTGGGGCTTTGCGTGTTTCAAACCGAGTTCCCCAGGGATCAGGGAGCAGCTGGGGTTGGGAATTCACCCAGAGCACCCACCCTGAGGAAGAGGAGGAGGGAAGTATCTTTCATCTTGACTGAACCTCTCTGCCCTGTCCCAGGGACTCCTCTGGAAGCTGCAGTTTGTGGATCCAGCTTAGATGGAGGAGGCTGAACAATGAGAGGGAAAAGCCACTGCAGGAATGCCCAGAGCTGGCTGTGGGTTGATCCAGGGGGTCCCTGCAGGGTCTGAGGAGGGGAGGTTTGCTCCTGGGGCTCACAGCACCCTCTTAAATGAACCTGAAAGCATTTTCAGGCAGTTCATCCACCCTTTTGTCCCAGGAGTGCCTAAAAAGCAGATCTAGGTGTGTGGCTGGTAGAAGGGTTTACCCATCCTATAAAGGATTGAGGCTGGGAAGGGGGTTCTCCTGCCTGCTCTCCCCTTCCTGGCAGTGCCCCGAGGCAGGATCAGCTCCAGGATCCCCTGAGGAGGAGCCAAAATCCAGACCTGGTGGCTCAGCTTACTCATTTTGCCTTCCCACCCTCCTTTCTTACCCTCAGGTGAACTCTTTACCCGCTGAGAGGATCCAGGAGATTCAAAAAGCCATCGAGCTCTTCTCTGTAGGTCAGGGCCCTGCCAAAACCATGGAGGAGGCCAGCAAGAGGAGCTACCAGTTCTGGGACACGCAGCCAGTGCCCAAGCTCGGTATGTGCAGCCCCCTCAGTGTTCTGTGGGCCCTGGGGGAATCCTGGTGGTCCCCAGGCTGCTCCAAGAAGCCCTCAGAGAAGCCTGGAAAAGCTGGTGTGTGGCCATCAAGTGAGTCCCTGGCTGGCCTGGCCTCCAAAGGCATCACAACCACCTCTCCACCATTCAGCACAGAGGGATGAGAACCGCTTCAGACATCTGGTTTGATGCCTCCTGCATTTGGGCATCCCTTAATCCCAGTGCTTGGCTTGGGTCTCCCCAGCCCTCTGTGCCCAGTTTTCATGCACGGTGTTGCCACATCCTGGACTGCTCAGGGTTTTCCATCCAGGGGATGAGAGGGGAAGGTAACCTGGGGTGAGTTGGGGCCAGACAGTGATGGGAGCTGCTCCAGGAGGCAGGTCCATGTGTCCAAACTCCAGGTTTTCCTCACACTTGTCATTGGCTGCTCTTCAGTAACTCCCTTCGTGGGGTTGTGTCTGACCTTTCCTGCTGAAAATGCCTTATTTGATTCCCCTTCCTTGGGAATTCCCTTTCCACACTGTCAGCACCACTGTGAGGGCTTTCTTTGGCTCTCCAGACCTGTTTGCTGGGAGGTGGTCTCAGCTTTGTGCTGGGAAGATCACACAGTGAGGTGGCAGGGGGGCTCACGTGAGGCAGCAAAGCCTGGTCTTGCAGTTCCCATTTTTCCCGAGGATCCTGGACATGATAAACTTCATTTCTGCTTGGGAAAAGCCTGGAGGAAAGGTGGGAGGTGTCTTTTGGGAAGGGGGAGGCACAAAGCAACCCATTCCTCTCAATGCCATGGTGCTGGCTGGCAGTCACCGTGTCCCAGTGTTCCTCATGGTCCTTGGGAGCACACTCTGGCACGCGAGGATGTTTATTTAGAACTGGATAACAGGAGGGCTTTTTTGGGGGCCAGATTGCAGAGCAGTTCAGCCCCTGCTTAAAACAGAGAGGGCAGCCAGGGGTGAGCCTTTTGGGGAGCTGCCCGGGCTGGGTGTGATGGGGGAAATTCCTGCTCTGGGCTCTCCCCACCTCCCCATTGCCTGGAAACCTTTTCAATGCCTTTTTAAGGGAATTCCTAATTAGCAGGACCCGCTCCTCCTGACATCCCAAATAAAGCTGGAGCTCGAGGTGACATCTCCTGGCTGAACCAGGGCTTGAGGAGTCAGTGGTTTTACAGAACAAAAGTTGTGCTGTTCCCTGCAGCTCTTCCTGGGGCTCAGTGGGCAGGAAACACGGACTTTTGCCAAGTGGCAGAGGCCAGAGCTGGCAGGAGAATTCACCATCCCATGGAGCAGCTCCCGGGAAAGTGCTGGCCAAAGGCTGGGATCAGTGGGGATGGGGAAGGATGAGGCATCCCACGTGGACCTGGAGGGTGTAACTGTGGCTGTGTTCGGTCACCTGAGCAGCACTGGTGGGGTTCTCGAAGGAGAAGATCTCAGGAGGACCATTTGCATCCTGCACATCCATGGAGGAATAAAACAGGGCGTTGCTTTGACTGAGGTGTTTGTGTTCAGCCCCACCACTGCCCTGGAAGGAGTTTTGATTCCCTGCCTTGTGTTGTCCCAAATTGGGAGGGTGAAATGCTGCTCCAGGGACCTGGGCTGGGAGACATGAGGAGTGTTGGTCACCAGGCTGAGGCTTGGCCTTGCCCAGTGGAGAATTCCAAGGCTCCCTGCTCTCTCTTCCAGGAGAGGTGGTGAACACTCACGGCCCAGTGGAGCCGGACAAGGACAATATCCGTCAGGAACCCTACACCCTGCCCCAGGGCTTCACCTGGGATGCCCTGGACCTCGGGGACAGAGGTGTGGTGAGTACAGGCACGCGTTTGTTGGGAGGGCATCTGGGTTGGCAGTGCCTTACTTGGACTGTTGGAGATTGTTCTAGGGACGGGAACGTGTCCTGCACCCCACCAGGAGACTCCAGCTTGGTGTTACACCATCTCCTTGGGGTTGGATGGGTCTGACTTTCCTGGCTGCTGTTCCCTCTCACCTATCCCATGGTTTCTTCATGGGGACAGTAAGGATGCCTGAAACCAGGAGTTTTCCCTTGGGAAGACCTTTTAGGCCGTGACCCACCTCCAAGGGTAGCCGTGCGTGTCCTGCTGTCCCCCTGCTCTGCCACAGGACCGTAGTGCCTTTAGCACAGCTGCACGTGGCTGTTGTGGCCACACAGGAAGCATTCAGGGTCCCCTCTGGGGGCAGCTGGGGCAGGTGATGGCTGAGTAACCTCCTTAACCTGCGTGCTCTGTGCTGCTGTAGCTGAAGGAGCTCTACACGCTGCTCAACGAGAACTACGTGGAGGACGATGACAACATGTTCCGCTTCGATTACTCCCCCGAGTTCCTGCTGTGGTGAGTGGCACCAGGAGCGTGCAGCAGAGGGGGTTGGATGCTGACAAGCCTCATCCCAGTGACAGCACTGCAGCTGCCTTTGCTTATCCCATCTCACTTCCTCCTGAGATGTCCCTTCCCCATCTGTCGCTGTGCGCGGTGTCCCAGGGACACTGCCAGGGGGGCTGTCACCCAGCCCTGCCTACCTCAGGCCTCTTTGAGATAGGGGAGCCTAAAACTGGCCCTTTCTCCTCTTTGGTTTGATCCCTCAAGTGTTTGTGAACATCCCAGTGGCTGAGGAATTCCTCAGTGCCCTGGAGCTGTGGGAGGAGGGCGGCTGCCAAGCGATGCTTCCGGTTCCACCTGTGGAGTCCTGTTGGCAGCAGAGCTGGTTCCTTGGGGTGTTCCTGGATCGAGGAACGTGGATTTCCTCCTGTGTCACTAGTGAGGGCTGGCCTTGGAGTGCAGGAATTGCTGTGGATCCCAGCACATCACCGTCACCCTCCCATCCTCCTGCCTGTGAGCAGGACACAGGGTGTCCCAGGGCAGGGTGGGAGGCAGGAGCAGGCACTCCTGGGGACATGGGAGGTGACTGTGAGCTGTGTCTCTCCCCAGGGCAGGGTGGGAGGCAGGAGCAGGCACTCCTGGGGACATGGGAGGTGACTGTGAGCTGTCTCTCCCCAGGGCTCTGCGTCCTCCGGGCTGGCTGCCCCAGTGGCACTGTGGGGTCCGAGTTGTCTCCAGCAAGAAGCTGGTTGGATTTATCAGCGCCATTCCAGCCACAATCCACATCTATGACACGTGAGTGCTGCTCCCCTGCCTTTCTCATCCTGCCTCTTGCTGGCAAATGGGGCTTCCTGGGAGGACTGAGGGAATCTGATTGTGTTGTCCTCCCCAGCCCACAGCCAGACCTGCACCCTGCAGCCTTGCAGGAGAAGGTGGGGGATATTTGAGGGGGTCAGGGCAGCTCTGCACAAGGACATCTCGTAGTTTAGAGCTGTGAAGGCTTTTCCTCAACAAGAGAGGTCAGCTCAGAGCTCTGGCTTACACAATTCATCCAGTGCTGGATGGAGACATAGAATATCCTGAGCTGGAAGGGGCCTCTAAGGATCATCCAATCCAACTGCTGTGCCTGCACAGACACCCCAACAATCCCCCCCTGTCCCTCAGAGCGTTGTCCAAACCCTCCTGGAGCTCTCGCAGCCTTGGGGCTGTGCCCACTGCCCTGGGGAGCCTGTTCAGTGCCAACCACCCTCTGGGGGAAGAACCTATTCCTGATATCCAACCTAACCCTCCCCTGACACAAATTCAGACCATTTTTCCTGGGAAAACCGTGGGTAACAGCTTAAGGGCGAGCTCTCCAAACCCAGCCCTCGCCCCTTGGCCTTCCTCAAGGCGTTGCTTCCCCGTTCCCTTGAAGGGGCTGGAGGTAAATCACCCAGGGCCTTGGTGTGGTCCTCCCAGCTCAGGACAGTCGGGTCTCATGCTCTTACATCCTTCTTTCCCCAAGAGAGAAGAAGATGGTGGAGATAAACTTCCTGTGCGTCCACAAAAAGCTGCGCTCCAAACGGGTGGCTCCGGTGCTGATCCGCGAGATCACGCGGCGGGTGCATCTGGAGGGGATCTTCCAGGCTGTTTACACTGCGGGAGTGGTGCTGCCAAAGCCTGTGGGGACTTGCAGGTGAGTGCCTGTGGCTCTCCAAAGGTTTCACTCTGCACATCTCCCATTCCTGAGGGCCCCTCTGCGCCTGTGGGATTCCCCAGGGCAGGAGAGAGTGATCCCAGCCCGCATTCCGTCTCCCCGCGCTGTCCTTCCAGGATTAATTCCAGTGGCTTTGCTAAAGCTGCTGATGTAACGCAGGAGAGGAGACTTTGGCAGCACAGGCACCTCAGGGGGAGCTGCTGGCCTGATGTTCTCGCTTGCCCTCACGGCAGTTACGAGGCCCTGGTGCCCCAGAACCATCTCCCACCGCTGGTGTGTTTCCGCAGGTACTGGCACCGGTCCCTGAACCCTCGGAAACTCATCGAGGTCAAATTCTCCCACCTGAGCAGGAACATGACTATGCAACGTACCACGAAGCTTTACCGGCTGCCCGAGGTGGGTTCCAGCCGGGAGCAGGGCTCAGGAATTGTCCCTGGCTGGGCCAGGCTGGGAGCTGGAGGCACAAACATTCCAGCCGAGGTCGAGTCCTCTGCCTGGAGACCCAGGGTTTGCTCGGCGTGGTAAATGGCTCTGTCAAGCAATTGTGCTTTATTTAATCTTTATTTAATCTTTATGTATTTCTGCCCGGGTACCTGCATTTTGAGGGCAAATTCTTGCAGTTAGAGGACCCTGTGAGGTTTTGTTTGATGGTGAGTCATAGCCTGTCCTCCTGGTAAAACAAGCAGGCAGATCTGACAGCCTTCATCTGTCCAAACACAGCCTCGACGTGACCTTGGAGCGGGTTAGTCCCTCATTCTTCAGTCACACTGATCAGATCTGGCACTGCAGTTGTCCTGCTGGGGAGGTTCCCCAGCTGGATATGAGAGAAAAAAAAAAAAAACAAACAAAGCATTAAAATTGCCACCACCTTCCCCGACCTTGTTGGCTCCTTTCTGTCGGCCAGAGCTGCCCGTTTGGGTTGGGAAGTGCTGTTTTAGTGTGGGGCAGCACAAGGCTCCTGCCTCCTGCCACCACACAGGCACCAGCTGCTGGGGTGGAGCTGCTGGTTCCTGCACAGGAGCTCAGCCCCAGAGCAGATCTGGGCACGCTGAGCCATCCCAACCCTAGATTAGTAAGTGAAGCCAACTGGGAATAGTATCAGGCAGTTTTGCAGAGCCTGCTGTGAGCAGGAGCAGAGACCTGGAGGGAAGCAGAGATCTGGTGTCATTAGTGGGTAGGAGGCCACTGCCAGTGGGACCTGCCCTGGCACAGGGGGCTGTTGGGACGTGCTGTTCTCTCTGTGATCTTTGCCATCACATCCCTCCTCTGCTGGGGGCAGGGCTGGGCTAGGGGGCTGAAAGCGGGCTGAGCTAAGCAGAGAACCTCTCGGTGCCGCTTGCTGGAGAGCCCGTGGGTGATAAAACCACCGTGCAAGCAGCACAGCGGGTTTGTCCCACTTTGTGTAGACTCCCAAGACGCCCGGCCTGCGGCCCATGGAGCACAGGGACATCTCTGCCGTGCACAAGCTCTTGACCGAATACCTGAAGCAGTTCCACCTGACGCCCGTGATGAGCCGAGAGGAGGTGGAGCACTGGTTCTTACCTCAGGAGAACATCATCGACACCTTTGTGGTAGAGGTGAGGGGCAGGGGCAGGGTGATGGGGAGTGTTTTCCTGGGGTTTGCCTCTTGGAGCCGTGAGGGCAGCGAGATGCCCTTCCAGGGTGGGAGGTTGCTGGAGGGTGGTGCCTCCCACCCACTGGAAAAGCCCCTCTAAGGCTCCATCTGTGCTTTTTCCCGGCTCTGACATGTCCCGGTGTCAATTCTGCCTCCCAGAGCACCCCGGGGGAGGTGACAGACTTCCTGAGCTTCTACACTCTGCCCTCCACCATCATGAACCACCCGACTCACAAGAGCCTGAAAGCTGCTTATTCCTTCTACAACGTTCACACCAAGACGCCTCTCATCGACCTCATGAGTGACGCCCTCATCCTCGCCAAGTCGGTGAGGGACGGCAGGGACGGGGTGGCACCAGGGCACTGGGAGGCTCTCTGGGCACTGGCAGCTCACTGGGAGCTTACTGGGCACTGGGAGCTCACGAGGAATCTCCTGAGGCACCAGCAGCTCGCTGGGCACCAGCAGCTCAGCTGGAAGCTCATGGCAGGCTGGACACCCTTGTTTTTGTGGGAAGGGCCAGCCACAGGGCCGTTCCTAAAATCCTAAAGGATCTGCCACCCAGGAGAGGGATGCAGGGGGGTACTCTGAGCCTTCCAGCTCGTGGTGAGCAGAGCTCAGGGTGTCTGCTCATGTCCCACAACGAGCAGTCCTGCTGTGTGTCCACAGCACTTGCACTGAGGGTGGGTACACCGAGGCTGAGCTCTTCCCTCCTGGCCTTGGGCCCTTTTTTTGGGATGCAGAACTGGGCAGGAGAGGGGGACAGGCAGCTCACAGGTGGGAGGAGCTCTCCAGCACAAAAGCAGGAGCTGATGGCTTTGTGCCTTCCCCGAACAGAAAGGATTCGACGTCTTCAATGCACTGGATCTCATGGAAAACAAAACCTTCCTGGAGAAGCTGAAGTTTGGGATCGGGGACGGGAACCTGCAGTATTACCTGTACAATTGGAAGTGTCCCAGCATGGCCCCAGAGAAGGTCAGTGCTGTGGGGTGGGGGGTCCTCATGTGTTGGAGGGGGTTTCATCCCCCACAGCCCCCAGGGAGATGAGTTTGGTGTCACACACACCCCTCGGTGCTCCCAGGCTGGCTGGTGTCTGTCACACGTGGTGACAGGTGAACCCAGTGTCAGCTCCTGTGTGCTGTCCCTGCTGTGCCTGCACAGTGTGTGTCCCTGGGGAGAATCCCTGGACATCCATCTCTCCAGGCTCGTTTTAGTCGTGGACTAGTGCAGGTTCACCTCACACCCCCTGCACGGATGAGCCCTACCCTCTGTGGTAGGAGGGCAGGCACAGAGGGCTACAGGGTGACACATGGGGCACCAGTGTTTGTGGCAGTCACCTGGGAAGCAGTTGCTGTGCCCTGTGAGCCCTCACTTGACCGGGGTGTCACCACACAGCCCTGGGTGTCACCCTGTCCTAGTGAGGTGAGCAGGAGAACTTGAGAGGTGTGGGGTTGTTGTGAACAGGATCCCGTGAGGATGAGCTGTGCCACCATGAGCCATGGAATCACAGGGTGTCACCTTGTCCCCAGGGCCAGAAGCCACTCCCCACCCAACTGCTCCCAGTGCTGGGCTGTGGGCACCTCGTCTGCCAGGCTGGGCTGTTTTTGGGCAGCACCTGGTTGACCACTGTCCCTCCACTCTGAAGATGTTCAGCATCTGTCCAGTCCACAGCTGCCTTGGAGAGGATGGTGCTTGAGAACCAGAATCTGCACAACCACATCCCAGCTAATTAATGCCTTACCAACTAATTAATGCCTTGATGGCAGTCCCAGGGCTTTGCTTCCATGGTGTGATGCCAGATCTGTCTCTGGGCACAAAACACACACCCTAAACCAGCCTCACTTGGCCACTGAGCCTTCCAGGAAACCCCAGGAGGTGTCAGCAATCCCTTTTCTCAATGGAAGAGCTGGTGGGTGGGAGAGCCTGGTGCTGGGAATGCTCCCAGAACGTCTCCTGTGGTGGGGCTGAGCAAGGCTCCAGTGGGTTGGAGACCAGGAACACCCATCAGCAGTGGGACTTGTCCCAGGACTGGGCTCTGGGAAGCAGCTTCTCCCAAATAATAGAATCATGGGATAGTTTGGGTTGGAAGGGACCTTAAAGCCCATCCAGTGCCACCCCTGCCATGGACAGGGACACCTTCCACCAGCCCAGGTTGCTCCAAGCCCCGTCCAACCTGGCCTTGGACACTTCCAGGGATCCAGGGGCAGCCACAGCTTCTCTGGGCAACCTGTGCCAGGGCCTCCCCACCCTCAGCCAAGAATTTCTTCCCGATAGAATTCTTCCCAATATCCCATCTAACCCTGTCCTGTGTCAGTGGGAAGCCATTTCCTGTGTCCTGTCCCTCCATGCCTTGTCCCCAGTCCCTCTCCAGCTCTCCTGGAACCCCTTTAGGCCATGGAAGAGGCTCTAAGGTCTCTCTGGAACCTTTTCCTCTCCAGGTGAACCCCCCCAGCTCTCCCAGCTTGGCTCCATGACGGAGCTGTTCCCTCAGGAACACCCTTGGTTTGTGAGTCAGGTCTGTCTCACAGCCTGGCGGGGTCTGTGGTTCGTCACACCCCAAACATTGCTCACCTCCCCAGAGCTGGGCGAGTGCCCATGTGCCCATTCAGCCACAAGCCTTTGCTGCTCTCAGATATCCCAAAACTGGTGAGGAAACCCACATGGACAATTCTGAGCCCTCCCAACCGGCACAGTGAGGGGTTGGGAGCTGCGTCTGCCCGGAGCCGGGAACGCCGGTGCTCGGGCGCATCCTGACTGCCCATTTCCATTGCTCCCAGGTCGGACTGGTGCTGCAGTAGTGAGCCCTTGCCAGGAGAGCGTGGAGGAGCCGGGCCTGGTGGAGGTGCTGCCCCTCATCCTTTCTGCCAAAGCTGGACCCATGCCGGGCCAGGGGGAACCGGAGCAGCCGCCCACGGCTCCCGCCACCGCCGCCGCCTCCTTGTCTGGTTTAATTTGCATCCTCTAAAGACACGATCAAGGGAATGTAACTGCTGAAACTAGATCATGATTGGCATAGAATGGAGCTAACGGGTGAATAATAAAAGTATATATTATATATATTTTAAATCTTTCCTGTTCCCAACTGCCACGAGTCGCACTCGGCTGCTGAAGGGCCCCCTCCGGGACTGTTCTCCGTGGGCACAGCGAGGCGGAGGCTGCAGCACCGGCATGGTGGAGCACCGGCACGTGGTGGCCGTGGCCAGGTCCTCCTGCCTGCCCCGAGGGTGCTTTGGGCTCTCCCCTGCTCGGCTCTTTGCCCCCAGTTTGCTCTCTCCTCCTCCGTTAAACGGGCTCGGGAGCACGTCGGAATTCCTTCCTAAGGGCTATTTGTGCAAGCGATGCCTTGTCCCATCTCCTCCCACACGTGGGGACTCCAGCCCTTCAACGAGGCGAGTGCTGAACTGAGGGGCAGCACCCCCCGAAGACCCAGGGGGACTCAGCTCTAGCACAGCCTGCTCTGCTCAGACTCCTGGGGCTCCTTCCCTCCAGCGCTGGGGCTGTGGGCACCAGGAAATGCTCCATCACTGCTGCCTCAGCTGCTTTTCTCTGGAAGCATGGAATTTTCTCTGGAAGCATGGAAATACGGAGACATGCCGCCGGCATCACCCCGGGCCTTCAGGCTCCCCAGCCACCCCGGTGCCTCCTCCACCAGCTCCCGGCTCGTCATCTTGTGCTGTGGGATCTACCAAGATAAAGGAGACGTTTTCTCTCGTGGAAAACCCTTCATCCCGTGGAGATCCTTCGGGAAAGGAGCGCCCGGACAGCCTCCTGCCGTGTCACGAACCGTGTCCACCCAGCGCTCCGAGATGCTCCTGCCCTCCCAGCCAAAGGTTTCCAAAGCTGCACACCAAGGCCAAGACCCTCCTGTCTATGCACTCCCCAACCTGCCTGTCCCTGCGTGTCCCTGTCACACCCCGTGGCACCACAGAGCCCCCCAGGGGGCCTCAGTGGGGACCAGGAGCCCGTCACGTCCTCCCCCAGCAGCGCCATCACACCCCCCTGCTCGGGGTCCTGTGTCACCTATGCAAGTACCTCTGTGTCCCCTCCTGTGTCCCTGCTGTGCTGGGGGAGGCTGAGTGCGGGTGGGGGGGACCCAGTGGGACCCTCCCCTTGCCCCCAGGGTGGGTTTGAGGGCTGTTCCCCCCAGCTTCCACGGGTGCAGCACCCACAGGTGCTGGGCAGCTGCCTGGGGCAGTGCTGGTTTGGGGGTGGGTTCGGTCCTTACCCCCCACAGCAGGCCCTGGGGGGTGACAGGGACACCGGGACAGGCTCTGTTAAAATAAAACCTTTATTGACTGGCTTGACCCCGGGGTATAAATGTGTGCCAGGGCAGGGGGTGAGAGGGTGTCCCACACCGGGTACAGTGGGGTGTGTGGTGGCAGGGTCACCGTCCTTGCAGCTGGGATCCAGCATGGCCAGGGCTGGTGACGTTTGGGGGTTGCTGTCACCCCTGTGGGGTTTTCTGTGGCCTGGTCACCCTGTCCTGGCTGTCACAGCATCTCTGTTCCCTCACAGGGTGGGGGAGAGTGGGACACCAGCAGACTGGGGTGGCACTGTGGGGCACAGAGGGGGTCCCCCAACCCCTTGGCAGGTGAGCGGTGTCCCTGGGCTGTCCCCACGCGGGAGCAGGAGGGTGCCCACCCCACGGAGAAGCACGTTGCCCCCCATGGGGGGGGCACGACTCCCCCCACCATCCCACGGGGATCTCCCGGGGACCTCACAGGCTCCTGCACTGGACGTGCACGAAGAGCGTGGCCGGGGACAGGGACGCGCCGTCCCTGGAGAGCAGGTGGATGTGCCGGTACCCTGGGGACACAGAGGGGGCTCAGCGGGGGGCAGGGGGACCGTCCCCATCCCCGAGAGGGGTCCAGCGGGGGGTCCCCCACCCAACCTGTGCGCAGGCTGGGCAGGGGCAGCGTGAACTGCCCCACGAAGTCGTTGCAGGAGGTGCTGTCATAATCCTCCACCACGAAGCGGAGCAGGGCCAGCTCGGGCACCCGCACCTGGAACCGCAGCGTCTCCTCCCAGCGCGGGTTGAACCCTGCGGCACCGGCACGGGGCTGGGCGGGGCCGCCGGGGCCACCCCCCGGCCCCAGGGACCACCCTGACCCACCCACCCACCCTGCACGGGGCATGGGGGCACGGGGGGAGCGGGGGTGATATGGGGGCTGTGGTGGGGGGTACTGGGGAAAAGGGGTCATGCTGGGGCTGGGGGGAGGTATGGCAGGGGGGTGGGGGTCATACTGGGGCTGGACTGGGCTATATTGGGAGAATGGAGGTCCTGCTGTGGGCACAGTGGGGTATGCTGGGGAAATGGGTCATACTGGGGGAATGGAGATCGTATTGTGGCTGCAGTGAGATATACTGGGGGAATAGGGGTCAGAGTGGGGGAAAGGGGTGCTGGACTGGGCCATACTGGGAGAAGAGTGGTCATACAGGGGCCACGGTGGACTATACTGGAGGGATGGGATCGTACTGGGGGAAAGGGGGTCATACTGGGACTATGGTGGGCTATATTGGGGGAATGGGAGTCATACTGGGGCCAGGCTAGGCTATACTGGGGGAATGGGAGTCATACTGGGGCTGTGATGGGCTATACTGGGGAAGACAGGCATCAGACTGGGCTTGGGCTGGGTGTACTGGAGGCCAGGAGGGAGCAGCACTGGCGAGGATGGGACTGTCCCCCCCTGGGGGGACCTGGGACATCCCTGGGGTCTGAGTGTCCCCCCAGGAGGGTGAGATCAGGAGATCAGGTGCCCCGGGGTGTCCCCCAGACTGACCGTTGTTGAGCTTGTGCCGGGTCTGCTGCCGGGCACAGTCAGCTGGCACCCCGTGCACCTCCACGCGCACGAAGGGATCCACGATGGAGCTGCCCTTCTCCCTGTTCAGCTTGGGCAGCTGCTGCGCCGTGATCACCTGGGAACAGCGGGCTGGGGCACCAGGGGCACCGGGGGGGGGCACCAGGGGGGAGACAGGGGTGTGGGGACAGGGCTGGTGACCTCGGGAGAGGGGATGTGGGTGGCACTTGGTTGGGACTGGGGACGGTGCGAAGAGGAGGGAGATGGTTCAGAAGGGTGATACCAACTGGATTTGGGGATAGAGTTGGTGCCACCCAGGAGAGGGGACAAAGGTGACACATGGCTGAGTGTGGGGTCAGAGTTGGTGTCCACAGGAGGGAGCAGGTGGCACCAGGCGGGAGTGGGGACAAGGTGAAGAGGAGGGAGGTGGTTGATGGCACCCAGTAGAAGGGACATGTGTGGCACATGTTTGGGTGCAGGAACAGGGTTAATGCCCCCAGAAGAAGGGACATGGGTGGTACCCAAACAGATGTGAGGACAGGGTCAGTGTCCCCAGGGCAAGAGAGGTTGGTGGCACCCAAGTAGAAGGTGTGCAGGTGGCACCTGGCTGGCCACGGGGTTGGCATCACCCCGAGGGGACACGGGTGCAGCTGCCCGGACATGGGGTTGGTGTCACCCAGCAGGGATGCAAGTAGCACCCACGGGGGGGTTGTGGGGTGCCCTCACCCTGATGTGCAGCTCTAGGCGCCGGGACCCCTCTCCGGGGGGGCTGCGCAGGCAGGGGGGCTTCAGGACGTACCCGCAGCCCCCGTTGCCCAGGAAGCGCCCGGTGTTCAGGTCCATCTCGTACCCCGGGGTCTGGAAGTTGAGGGCCACTGTGGGGACAGCGGGACGGGTGTCAGGGCGGGTGACAGCTCTGGGGGGAGGGGGTGGCAGGTGCCCCTGGGGGCTGTGGGGTCTCACCCAGCTGGCAGCCGGCGTTCCACATCTCCTGGGGGTTGTAGTTGGCCGAGTTCATCTTCAGCCCCAGCGGGTACACCCGGCTCAGCTGCCGGGTGTTGTACCGGACCAGCGCCGGGCCTGGGGAGGGACGGGGCTGAGCGGGGCCCACGGGGGCTGCTGTGGGGCCACAGCGGGGGGGGATGGGCCCTGCCCGTCCCTGTGTGCCCGGGGACAGGGACAGAGCCTGCCCAGAGCCTGCACGAACCCCAAACCCAGGCCCTGCAGTTCAGCCCCCAACCCTGGACCTTGAACTTGTAGCTCTCAGACCCTGGATGGTGACCTAGATCTTAATCTGAGCCCAGGATCCCTGAACTTGACCCCACACCTTGGCTTTAGACCCCACACCCTGACCCTGGACCTTGACCCTGATCCCACACCCTGATGCCTCAGACTCCAAATCAAAACCCTGGACTCTGACCCATTTGCTGATCCCAACGCTAGACATTGACCCTGGACCCCAGATCTTGAAAATTCACTCAGATCTTAATCTCAGCCCTTGATTCCACACCCTGACCTTGACATTCATGACCAGATCTTGACCCTGGACCCTGACTTCCAACCCCAGACTCTGACCCCAGACCTCAGTCCCTGGACTGTGACCCAGTTCTAAATCTCAGCCCCAGATCTCCCCCTGGACCCACATGCCACATCCTAAAAGCCTGATCCCAGACCCTGATCCTGCATCCTCTGGTCCCAGACCCTGCCAGCAGACCCCAGTCCCACCAGTCCAGAGCAGCCCAACCAAGGCCAGTGTGTCCTTGGAGCCACCCCGGTGGCAGAGCCCACCCTGCATCCCAGTGACATTATGGGCTTGGAGCCACTCTGTCCCCATCCCTGTCCCCATCCCTGCTCCCTGTCCCCATCCCATCACCCTCACCCGCCTCCTTGATGAGCTTCCGTGCCTTCCTCTCGCTGAAGGAGGACATCTGGCAGGGCCGGGGGTGGCGCAGGGCCTGGGCCAGCCCGGGGAAGGGCACGGCCTGGCAATAAACCACCAGGGCCGACAGCTCCGGGGACACCTGCAGCGCGTCCTTGGCCTGTGGGAGCCACCAGGGGGTCAGGGCCCCCCTGCCCGAGGGGTCTGCAGACACCCCCACCCTGCTAGGGGTGAGTGCTGAGAGCCCCACGGCCTTGGAGCCCCCAAAGGGCTGGAGAACCTGAGGCAATGGAGACCCCGAGGGGGTGGAGAGCCTGAGGCAATGGAATGATGGACCGTGGGCTGATGGACAAACCAAGCATGCTGAGAACCTGAGCTCATGGAGAGCACGAGGGGAGGCACAACCCAAGATGTCAGAGACCCCAAGGTGACCCCAAAGCGATGGGCACCTCGAGATGGTGGAGAACTTGAGGTGACGGAGACCCCTGAGGTGATGGAGAACTGAGGCAATGGAGAGCACTCCCCTAGGGTGATGGAGACCCCGAGGGATCACCCTGGAGGTGATGGAGACCCCAAAGTGAGGGATATCCCACTACGATGGAGATCCTGAAGTGTCAGAAACCCCAGAAATGGAGCACCCAGCCCAGTGGGAAGAGGGAGGCACAGCTTGAGGGGTCCTCAATATCAGTCCCCTGTGCTGGGCCACTCATCACCCCCCCAGCACCCAACCCATCACCCCCCCAGCCCCGTCCCATCACCCACCGGCAGAGGTTTGATCTCCTGCAGCGACTGCAGCGACTGGAAGAGGAGAGAGCGGGGCTGCAGGGGTTGTGCTGGCTGTGCTCACCTGCCCCGGGCCCAGCACTGCTGGCACACTCCAGGATGCCACGGTCCTCCAGGATGTCATTGTCCCCTGGCACCACAGCCCTGGGAGTGCCCCTCCTTACCCGCCGGTTGCTTCTGTCCTGCATCTTCTCCTCCTCTTCCTCCTCCTCCTCTTCCTCCTCCTCCGGGTCCAGGAGGGAGGTGACTCCCCGGGGCTCCTGCCACGGCTCTGGCAGCTTCTTGCCCTTCACCAGGATCTTTTCCTTCAGCTGCTGCGGGAGGAAGGGCCCAGCTCAGGGCTCAGAGGGGGCACGAGGACATGGGCAGGGGGGTGGCCTTACCTCCGGGGAGGGGAGATCGTGGGGGTCCTGCCCCTGCAGCGGCTGCGTCAACAGCAGGTCCCCCAGGATGGCCTTCATGTGGCGGGCCATGGTGGCCTGCTGCTCCAGCCCACAGTGGTTCTCCAGGGACAGGATGACAGGGTAGGGTGATCTCTGGGCACAGGGGGACAGGCAGTGCTCAGCACCCAGCACCCAGCACCCCTCCCAGCCCTGCCAGCACCCCCCTCACCTCGAAGGCCGTCCTGCGGATGCTCTCGATGACGTCACGGAAGAGGATTTTGGAGGTGAGGGTGTGGCCGTGGTACACGACAGGTTCTCCGTCGGAGCCCTCCCAGCAGTCCAGCTCCACACAGCGGCACCCTGCCCTCAGTGCCCTGCCACCAACCCACCACCGGCTCAGTCCCCCTGTCCCCCTCGGGACCACCTGGAGCCCCACGGGCCAGGGTCACCCACTCGGGGCCGGGGTCACCCACTCGGGGCCGGGGACACCCACTTGGCATAGGCCTCGGTGCTGCTGGTGCCGCCGATCTGGGTGCGGGTCAGGTAGGTGTTGTGGGAGGAGGAGATGAAGTAATGGCTCAGGGGCTGGCTCATGTCCTGGTGCACCCGGGTGTGCTCCTGGTTGAGGATGTCGCCGGCGGCCGACAGCAGGTACATCATGAAGCCGTCCAGCATCATCAGGTCCTGCTGCCTGGCTGTGGGACACGGTGGTGGCCGTCACAGAGGGCTGGCACCCAGCCCTAAAGCCTAACCCCAGCAGGGTGGCACGCTGGGGACTGTCCTCACTGGGATCTTCCAGCAGTGCCACGTTCACCCCAGATCTGGCACCACGGCACCCAGGAGATGTGGAGGTGCCCTTGGTGTCCCCCTCCACGCTGATGTCCCCCATCCTGCTAGTGCCACATCCACTCTGAGGGTACTGCTGTGACACCCAAGAGACACAGAGGTCCTTCATCCCCATCTTGATGTCCCCTGTCCTCCTGGTGCCGTGTTCACCTGGACCTGCCGTGGTGGGGCCCAAGGGACACAGAGGTCCTCGGCAGCGTCACATTCACATCAGGACTGGCACTGCTTCACCCAGGAGACATGGAAATGCACCTGCTGCCCATCCCCACCTTCACATCTCCTGTCCCTGCAGTGCCACATCCCCCAGAGACCAGCAGGGCTGGATGGCTGACACTGGTATCACCCTGGGAAGGGACATGGGGACACCCACCCAACCCTTGGAGGACCCCATACCTGATCGGAGGGGGTGACATCACCAAGCAGAGCCTCATCCCCACACCACCCACAACCTCCCGTAGCTCCAGCTGTGCCCACCCCACCGCCCAGCCCAGCCCTACCCTTGTCGTTGAGCTCGTGCTTGCGGATGATGGCGCGGGCCTGGCGCAGGCTGGAGTCCTCGCCCTGATCCCGCAGGAAATCCCGCAGCTCCTCGGCCGACAGGACACGATCCTCGCCCGAGTAGCGCCCGAAAAGCTCCTCCAGCTCCGGCCGCTGCAGGAGCCGCCGGCAAAACTCCTCCAGCTCCCGGCCCTCCAGCCGCTCGTTGCCCGAGTGGTCACACTCCTGACGGGAACACAGGTTGGGGACAGACTGGGAACAACCACGGGGGTGATGTCTACCCCATGGCCTGTGGGAAGAGGGTATATCCACCCCCTGCCTTGTCCTGCCTGTCCCCTGGGGCTGGCAGCATGTGTGATGAGTTTGGGAGTCTCAGCTGCTGGCATGTCCCCTCTGTGCCTCAGTTTCCCCAGGTGGAAAGGGAAC